ACGATTGACAGCCAGTGCTAATCGGTCCAGTGCTCTTTGGCATGTTTGGGGGTTGTCACAGATTAGGGCTATATCGTCCGCATACTCCAAGTCAAGAAGTCGCTCACCAGGAAGTAGCTCCACACCTTCTAGGTCGTGTCCAGCGAACGCTGTTTCTATGACTTCATCAATAGCGAAGTTGAAGAGGAAAGGTGACAGCGGGCATCCTTGTCTCACACCGCTGGTGATACTGAAGGGTGGCGAGAGTTTGCCATAAACCCTCACCCTGCCCGAACTATGCGCGCACAGCGCTTTGATAATGTTTACATATTTATCAGGCACACCTTTCCTCAGCAGACAGTCCCAAAGGGCACATCGATCGACTGAGTCGAACTATTTGTCCGTACCAAGTTCTGATCAATGCCACACCCAGCTCCACGCAGTACACGTGTCATGCGCACTTCACGCATATAACGCTGACGTACGATGACATAGTCGAGCAGGTAAGCGTGACCACTCCGTGGGTGCGTTCAAGTTGCTACATCACTCGTACTCAGTGCAAACCGAGTGTTCATGATCGTCAGGTCGAGTGGCACACAGTGAGAGCAGTCTGTCACCGTTTGCATTCGCTGAACCAATGCCATCCGGACCGATGACATCTCTCCACACCGATGCACCACGCCCAACGCGCGCGTTGAAATCCCCCAGCAGAAATGGTCGGTCGCTCCTCCGCACAGACCGTATCACGGTCATCGGTCGCGTACTAATAACAGTGGGCTCACTCACCAGCTGACTATTTAGGCGATCGGATAATGCAAATCCGACCCCATGTTCACATGGTGCTGTGGTAGCGTTTCCCACCCAGTAGAAGTTGTAAGCAGCACCTGCTTCATGCAACTTACCTTACCCAGACAGCTGAGTCTCACTGAGCGCCGCAATACCGATGTTGTAGCGCGCCAGTTCCATCGCGACCAGTGCAGTGCGTCGCTCGGAGCGTTCACTCGAGTTCCGGTCCAGTAGTGTGCGCACGTTTCAGGACCTGATAATGAGTGCTTTGCGCGCAGCATACGATTGCATTAGTGGGCAATCGCACGCGAGGTAGCGGTTGTGCTTCGGAGGTTTGCTTGAGGGACTCCGCCCGGAGCCTTTAACTCAATACCCTGACCCACAAGGCAGTGGGGAGCAGATCCAGCTCGGGAATGTGATTGCAGAGACAGATTGGGATCTGCTTGACGGCCGTCACACGCAGCCTTTGAGGTACTGGAACCATTTATATATATATTTTGCGACCGTAGTAGGATACGCACCTGTGACCGCGATCAGACGCAGGTGGGTATTAGCGAGTTTGCACCAATGTGACTAGGGGCTGCCTGGCTTGAGGTGAGTAGTAGAAAACCATTGAACACCCGGAGGTGCCCTCCCACCGTCGGAGATAAGGCGTGGTGCTCGTGCCCTATGCCAATCGAGCTGTGAGCTTATAACCCGCAGACCTGTTGTCTCCCATGGTTAGGTTTTACGGGAAGAGGGACAACGACCACGTCCTAACCTCCGAAGAGGATGGACTAGGATATTGGCAGGGCGCCCACATCTGATAGGAGAACGACTGGGTCCTCAGCCAAAGCCTTCGATTAAATGTACACCCGAAAGGCAGTGGGTCTAGAACATGGTCAATTCACTGACTCATGCGGATTGGTGTCCTGGATCTTAGCAGGGAGAAGGGCGTAACCCAACTCCCACACAGCGGTCGCCACGAGAACGCGTCAAGGACATCAGCCCATGGCATAAGCGTAGCAGTAGCGGGTTGACAATCTATTAGGATCTCGCTAACACAAGCTTCAGCGCACCATGTGTGTGCCCCATGTTGAGGCTGATGTCGCATTCATGATGCTGCTTCCCCGCAGTTGGGTCCTTGTAAGCAAGATAAATTTCATTCCACTTTATTTGGTTTGTTCCGCCTACCTGAATAATCTTCTATTAACTGACTACGTTGCTTACATTAATTGTGGTTATCGTCGTTAACTTCACTGCGTTTTTAGCATTTTTGAGTAACTTCTGTACATTTTGCACTTATCGCGGAGTCGTTGCTAACCAACTTACTTCATATGCTAATTTAGCGAAGAGTTATGTCTGCGTAGCCGTATTCTTTAACAGATACATTTTAATTGATAATGTCATTGCAAGTGATCGGCTGTTGCTTGATATTCTCTGGTGGCTGCGCTTGGTGTGCATGTTGACAAGGTGCCTACCTATCTATTACCCACTACCTCGTCCATACTGGCTCCAGGAGACGGTGAGTCGTTGGTGGAGGGGACGGGACGTACGGTCCTTGTGGCCGCGCTAGGCTCGAAGAGTGATTCCATGCACTCAGTGTGGAGCGGACTACGGTCAAGCCACCGCTTTATGTGCGATTGATTCTCAACTACAACGTGCTCATGTTTACCTGTGAAGGAGTGTGGGCCGGCTCTGTTGATGAAACGTGGCTCCCATCCACATGCCTCCCGGTCTTATTCCTTCGGGTTTACACTGGATATGGGGCGTGTGATTGGAGCTGTGGGTGGTGCAGCGCAAGCCACCCATGGTCCCTGTGTAGGCGCAGGCGTCCTGTGGCTGGCCACAGTGACAGGCAAATCCGAAACCGGATGCCGCCAACTATTTAGTTGTGTATGTGTTCTGCTTGGATTGTGCTTGCGACCGATGAGAACAATCGAAATGTTGACATCGCGTTGTAGTATTTTTCTGCTTTTAGGGAATATCTGAGAGGGACCCATAATTTTAAGTTTTGATTTTGACCGTGAATGGAATCTTGTGGAGTGCGGAAGAGCACTTATGGGAATCACATAGAAAACAAAAGTCCCGGAGAGAAATGCAAGCGGTGATTTTAGAGCAGACAATGGTTTTCGATTTATTTGTCATCAGACTCAGTACAGAAATAAATGGTAAAAAGCTGACAAATCACTTGTGGGTACAAAGAGTAACAACTGATCAAGACATTTATTGATATGCGTCTGGCGATCATGTGATGGATGGCACGTTGGACTGCTGGATTAGGTCCGACTCTTCGCGTTTAGATGATGGTTATGGGTGCTGCAGCGCTTGAACGTGTTTCTTCTGGATGCATAGGTTCGGATTTGTTAACCTTATGCATACTGCTTCCGCGGTAGTAAGCAGTCGTGCACTCAATCAATAAATTCGATTCGAACATTTTTGAGCACTTGTTACTCTTTGTACCCACAAGTGATTTGTCAGCTTTTTACCGTTTATTTCCGTACTGAGTCTCATGGCGAATAAATTGTAAATAATTGTTTGCTCTAAAATAACCGCTTGCGTTTCTCTCCGGGACTAAAAATAAATGGGCATTATACACGAACCTTATACAAAAAGTGAACAAAAACTGCCCGGAAGAGAGTGGTTTGTCAAGAGAATCCAATCAGTCAGCAACGATTCAGAGCTGGAGCTAAGGAACATGTCCAGTTGGAATGCATCTGTGGTTGCTGTAGCGACATACCCGGATGCACACAACTAAATAGTTGTGCTTAATCAGTTCGATAAGTGCGTGAGTCGCGGATTCGAGATTAGGTGAGGCGGCACAGGTCAGCCCTAGGGTAACTGGTCTATGTGGCAGCGTAAGCTGTCTACTTACGCGCAATAAGACAAGAAAGTTGAATGCATATAAAAGTGTCGTGGCGTGACATGATAAAGAGTTCTGATTTGAAGAAGACGTAAGCAGTGGGTCGGTTAGCTGTACCAATGCTTCGCTGCCACGCAGTCATCAGTCACGCGGGGACTAAGGATACTACGAGGGTCATCCGGTCCCCTACTCGGGTTCGAATCGGTGACGTCAGGGTTGAAAGGTAGACGCTTTGTCGTTTCAGCCACCGGTCGACGAAAATAGCATAGCTTTAGTTAGGACTGCAACTACCGCAACTTACGCCTGGGACTACAGGATGATGGCCAGCGATGAGTATGGAATGGAATTGAAAAAGTTATGGAAAAAAATGAGATAACAGCGGGACAATCTTCCAACGTCCGTTCTGCCACATACGGAAAATAACCAAAGAATGATGAAGGATGAGGCCGAAGGTTGTTGGAAAAACGGGTTGAATATGTGCTGTGATGGTTTCATGGCAACAGAAGCTAAACAGAACTATAAAAGTTTTTAATAACACACGACTGTAAGGGAATGGTTCATTAGTTGGATCTAACTTACTGAAACGAGAGCAATTCCGTTACGGCACCCCAGACCGAATGACTGGGGAGCCGAGTTAGGCTGATATCGTCGTCTTTAGATATTAGGAATAAATTTGTACCTCCTATTCATACTTCTGTGCTATGTAACGGGAAGCGGCTGTATGCAGGCCTGAATACTCCAGCGGCGCCTAAATCCATGCAGGATTTGACACTGGATCCCAGGACAGAAGGCGCAAGCTAAGTGCCTGAGCCCCTAAATAACGAACCTACGTCGACCGATTCGGCAGGAATAGCCCTAAAGTGCCCGACTGCAACACCCAATGGAACTAAATAGACCAGGGGCAAGCGAACAGTCGCATCACGTTAGGGTCTATTCTCATTGTCCAAGTGAGTAAGGCTAAGAGACGACCAAAAGATAGAGTCGGGTTGGTGAGTTTCCCTTTATTGGATGGAACTCCCGCGAGTAGCCACAATACTCGTCAGACACTATCAGATATGGCATAATTACAGTCACTAAACTTATGCCTACTACAAGGAATACCGAGGCCAGTTTTGGAAGTCGGAGGTAGGTGGATCTCATGAAGAATCACAAGGGGTGAGAACCTGTCTTAGTTTCGGTGAAGGGTGGACTCAAGCATATAATATAAGGAGAAAACATAGAGTAGCCGTATTTAGATACCAAGTAAACGTCTCCTGGCTCGATACACACATGTTGGCTTCTCTTCCTTGGTCTCACTGACAAATAAAATCAGGTAGACGGCCGACTAGATTAGCAGGGTTCTAACCCATTCGCATTCGAAGCAAGGTACTCATTGGCACTAATCAATGTACTACTAGAAAGTAACAATTAGCGAATAAATAAATAGAATGAATAGGAACGGAAAGCTTACCTTTTCCAAAGCCACTATCTCCTTTTGAAATAGCTCAACTTCCTCCGTTAGCTTATCTTTGTACGGTACATTGCGGGCCTAAAGCGAAACAGGCTTGAGGAAGGGATGCATAATAACCCACTTTCGCATCCTTGTATTTGTCATCGAAAAACCCTTCAGGTAGTTGGGAGTCAGAAATTGGTTCGCGAGACTTTTCTGCGGGGTTTTTTCCACCGGGAGGGTTAGGCTCTGGTGCCAGTGTGTCAACGAGTTGTGAGCTTGTAGAATTCAAGTGCTGATTGTCGCAATATTGCTGAATACTATGTGGACTTACAGACTCGGATGGACGTGAGATTTTGGCATTGTGACCAACCTCATTTACTGAACCGGTTGAAACACGTTTCAAAGAAGAATAGGAATCTCGGTGTTCCATCTACAATTCTGGACTGGAAGAGAAATAGTTCATACCTCCTTGTGAGTTCTGCTTAACACATGCGCATTCCACGCGAATTCCGACTTCAGCTGAACTCCACATAGAATGCAAGTAATGCGGCCTAACTGGTTATATCTGAAGAATGTCAGTCCGTTAGAAGGGATAGCGCATACCGAGCATGAGGATGATTAATTTTATTGCCTTCAGTCTTCCTGATCTTAATTAACTGTCGCACGTCGGATTTCGGAAGAAGTTCATAAGTCTTCATCGTCTCTCCATCAAGTCACTCCACAATTGTGAAACAAAAACAAGAAAACGGCTCTGATTAGTGAAATAGCTTATTTAGGAGATCAAATGACGCTTAGGTATAGAGGTGTGGGCAGATGATTGAATGAGGAGTTCAAGATTAACATTTGCCGAAGCTATCCAGTTTGCTTCCAGGCTATGGCCATGTGCAATCCATTGCGAACCACGCATAGGTTGAGGCCACTACAGCAGTTAAATTCACCTAAACTAGGTATCTGCTTGTTCACTATCAAATGAGTAACACTGAGCGAGAGTTCATCGTTCTCTAAACATTAAAAATAGTAGGCAACACTCGCGAACAATGAAATGGTTTGCAGCATCTTGGGAGAACCATATGACTTTATGCAGCATAAAGTATGTCGACTGATTAAACAGATGACGTTCTACATCACTATGTAAAGCCCATTTGAGTACAATTTCAACCTGGAGTTCATGTGAATCAGTGCGACAGCAACTCAGCACTAGTCCATTCATCTTTGACCTGAAGTCCTGCGCGAGGTAGTGGGTCCGAATTGGGCCATCTTACCAGATACTAGTGGCAAACTTCAACGGAGAGGCAGTGGTATTTTTCATTATATTCGATGAGGCACATGATCGGAGCCGATTGGCGCGACAAACCCGATTCGCCGTTACGGCGATTACCATGTAGCACCCATGACCGTGATGAGTCCGAGTACATGTAATTTATCGCTAGATTAGTCTTTGGTCAAATTTCCAATCCGGTGCTGGAATTCTTAATGGAGTTCGTTAAAAGAAGTCATTCAAGCCTAATGCCGTGCCGGTAGTCTAAGTGGTAGCCCGGACAGAAACAGCACGAAGCTCATGGGCCAGTAGACGGCCGATAACAGCGTTTGCTCCGTCGGAGTCAATTAATGACAACACTTTTAGCTTGGAGCCAGCCGATAAGATCGTCAGATATTTTCTGGTAGCTCGGAAGCTTTGGCTAAATCATTTCTATTGAACAATATAGTTAGACTACTTTCTAAGCTCAACGCCGTATTTTCCGGGGCTCAAATGAAGGTTTTGGCGAAGCACTTGTTCTCTGATCTGGCAAGTGGCTGGCATTGATCCAAATACATGTAGTGATTATTCATGCAGCACCCGGAAAATAACATCTTTTGGCGACAAAGCAGTTACATCACGATACCGATTTCAAGGGTATTGCGAGTAAAAGCTTGTTATGGTGTACTACGCGTAGGCGATGAAGAGGAATGAATCCGGAGAAATTCAGCCTCGAACATGTGAAAGAAAGCAAAATAAAACCATCGAGGACGAATGTACCCAAGAAAGAAGTCATTGTGCATTTTGCTTTTAAAAGCGGCAATGTGCCTGATGCCCTATCCAAACGCCTGAAAAACGCTGTTGAAAAGACCTCTTTCGCAACTCGCGTACCGATATCGATTTCAGCCATTTTACCACAACAGCAGCAACAATTCGAGGCAGCACAGATGCGAATGATCAAGACTCTCACACAAACACTATCGTTCGAGTCTACAGCCATCCAAATTGCTGAGAAGACTTAAGTTGATCTAATAATCAACGGTGTCAGTGAGTACGTTGTTGACCCCAATTCGGGACGGATCGTTGATGCACTACGCAGGCTTTATGAGGGCATTTTCAAGACGGAGATGCCGGCTCTCGATAACACATCAAAATTACGACTGCTGTTGAGTAAACTCGGAACTATGGAGTACGACAGATACATTCATTTCACTTTGTTTAAAGGGCTCAAAATTCGGCTTTGGTGAAACAAGTTCACTACTCATGAAGATGCTTGGGGGTCAGGCATCGCTTGGCCAACAATCGGTGCAATTGTACGAAGCTGTGCAAGAGACAGTGATAGTCGCATTGCCCATTCAGCCAAGGGCTAAAATCACTTAGAGGATCTATTGGTATACCTGACATCGGTGTGAAGTCTGTAGTCTCCCATAGATGCTGAGGTCGGAAGCAGAATATTCGGGCTGTTGGAGTGAGACCCAGACATCACAATGCAAACTGTCATTGCAGATGCTCACAGAATCATCAACCTGAAATACGATACAGCTCTGGTCGAAGATAAAAAGACATAGTCCGGTGATCTCGCAGTTACGCAGATTTGCACTAGCAAGTTTCCAGCCACTGATCGCAAGAAATTTCCTCAAGATAAGCCACTATCAGCCTGTTGGTAATACGGGGTCTGGCATTTACGACTTGATGGGCATACAATAAACCCAACTGTCAGAAATGCCGTGGAGATTGACACAAAGATCCCAAGTGAAGATCCAAACTACGTTTAAGGTCAGATCGTAATGTTCGAAAGGAGATTTGCGGCTAATTTTACTGGCGGTGTCAGAGTATGAAGAAAACATATCAGCCTACATAAATTGAAGACAAGTGGGCCTGCTGATCGATATAAACGTCAGACATCAAATTTATATCGGAAAGGCTGCGGAGAATGGTTGAGTCGTCCGATCTTAAATCTACCAGTCATTATATATCCAACATTACCAATTACAATAACATTGGTTGAGTGCAACAATATAAGAGGGAAAAGGAGATTGAAAGGGAAAACAACTGTTAGGGTAAAAGAGTCTCACAGCAAATGCGCCATTGCGTACGGTCCTTGGCCATATCCTCTAGCGATTGCAACCAGATGTGCTCAGGGTCCTTTGGTCCCCAACCCGGGCGTCGGGAATGCTCAAGAACAGCCAGATTTTAGGTTTGCGGCTAACGCATTGAACCCAAGTCTTACATTGTCCTCCTTTTCGTCGCTTCCACCCCACGCCTGTGCTCGCAAATAGGGCTCGTCGTGGTAGCCGCTGGGCAGGCATGCGGAGTACATGCCCAAACCAGCGAAGCGTCCACAGTGAAATGATGCTATCAATCGGTAGGCATCAGCAACAGGTCAGTGCTACGTACCGACGCTTCGCTGCCGCGCTACCACCACTGGTCGCACGTGAGGTAAGGATACTGCGAGTGTCGCCCGGTCCCTATGCAGGCCCGAATCCGTGCCGTCGGATCAGAAGACAAGCAATACTAATGTGTCAGCTGTACACCATAAAGGCGCTTCGCTGCTGTGCGACTTCCATCAGTCGAACGCGGGTTGAGTATACCGTGAGGAGGCCCACCACTACGCGGATTCGAACCCGCGCCGCAAGATTATGAGACAAGCTCGTTACCTCTAGGCTACGGGCCGACGGTCGGCAGAGTTCGTTAGATCTGGAGACTCATTATTGATGTGATGCTGCCATCAAACACCAACAATGCTTCGCAGGAAATAATATAATAATGTGTCAGCTGTACGCCGTAACGGCGCTTCGCTGCCGCACGACTACCACCAGTCATACGCGCGCTGAGTACACCGTGAGGACGCCGACCCCAAAGTGGATTAGAACCGGGGACCTTATGGTTGCAAACCAAGCGTGCAGACCACTCGGCCACTGGCCGACAGGGAGCGGTGATCGAAGACAGATAGCCGTTGAAGATCTCTTTTGCGAAAGGACCAAGTTTCACCGCCGTACAGCACAATCGCTCGTACCGTGGCATTGTAAACTCCTCCCTTGAGAGTGAGGCTGAGGTCATGACGAAGCCACAGATGACGAAGGTTAGTAATCATCATCATCATCATTACACGTTAGCTGGAGGTGGAAAACACCTCACCTATTGTGCCGCAATACAAAAGGCAAGAAAAGAAGAAAAAACAAAACAACAACAACAAACAGTGGCACGCCCGCTGAGTCCCCAGTAACGGATGGACATCGTTCCGGAGAGCTAACAGCTGGCTGCCGTAAAAGAAAGTCATATTATGCCAAACGATTGAGATCGTGATTGGAGGGGGATGCTAAACAGGAGGGGGATGGACAAAGGAACTCACAACACAAACGCCATTGGGGTCGGCTCCGAGCCATATCAGCAAGTGTGTCCAACCAAACGTGTTCACCGTCCTTAGGACCCCAACCAGGCAGTCGGGATGCACCAACCGACGCCAACTTCGAAGTGAGGGTTTTCATTTCTCTCGACCAAGTCATCACTTGGCCTCCCCTCCTCCTCTTCCAACCGCACCCACAACGCGTAAACAAAGCACGTCGTGGGAGTCGGTGTGCTGGCATGCGCAACACGTGGCCCAGCCATCGGAGCCTGGTGCGTGATATAATCGTGCTGAGCGGTTCACTCGCTCTTCCTGTACCAAATACGCGACGCCGAACACGCTCATTGCTCACGCGGTGTTCCCACCAGACATGAGCTAAGCTGCGAAGGCAGCGATGATCGAATGTGACGAGTCTCTTCATGTCTGCCGACCTGATGGGCCAGGTTTCACAGCCATATAGGAGAGTTGAACGGACGGCTGCGTTGTAAACTCTGCCCTTCAGGGCGAGAGTAATGTCGCGTCTGCGCCACAGGTGGCGGAGATTGGCAAAAGCACCTCGAGCTTTTGCTATACGGTTCGTAACCTCATCTTCAATCCCACGGGTGCTAATATAGCTGCCAAGGTACTTGAATTCCTGAACGACTTCTAGCAGATCACCACCAAGCGTTAGCGCAGGGTTGGGTCCCTGCCAATCTTGGAGAAGTACTTTGCATTTCGATGGAGCAAAGCATAGCCAAAACGATTGACAGCCAGTGCTAATCGGTTCAGTGCTGTTTGGCATGTTTGGGAGCTGTCACAGATTAGGGCAATATCGTCTGCATACTCCAAGTCAAGAAGTCGCTCACCA